TTTTATGTTTTCCTATTCGTAGTATCTAATTAATAAACAGCTTATAATTTTTATTGCACTTAGTAATAGTTCTTATTAGTTTTTAAAAATATATGTATTTCCTAAATTTCATAAATTTCACAAACAAGGAGTAATATCTAAATAATTAGTGTCCTAGTCTCACTGATCTTTTAATGCCTTTTGATTTTCCTTTACGTTACTTTAATTCTCTTTAAGAAGTGGTTTGCAAGCACCCTGAAACAACTTTTGTTACTTCACCCTCAGTATTTTTTCATGTAAATGGATGAAATATTATGAATAAAGAAAAGAGAAGCAACTTAGTATGTTCTTTTCTTATACGGATCAATTGTTTTTCATACAATGTGTAGGAAAATACAAATAACTTATACATGTAAATAAATTTGTTGTAGTTGTATTAGTCATATGTGTAATGTACTTATAAATGTATTATTTTTGTTGCGTAATTATTTGTATAATAATTAGAATTTGCCAGAAAATGCATTAAAATGTCACTATTGAATTATTGGTTTAACTTTATTTCTTTTCCTTTTTCTCTAAAAATACTAATATTTATTCATATACTTATTTTGTATGTCAAACCATGGGAAGAAAATATGGATATCTTTCAAAGAAAACTTGGATCAAAGTTCAATTGTAAAAATATTTGCTTAATTAATTCATGTACAACACATACAATATTCAAAGAGAAGAAATATTTCTCTTATTTAAGTATGTGTAAGGCAGGTGTTACTATAATTTCTGGTAGTGGTAATCTAATTGAAGGCTCTGGAAGAGCTAATATAGCTCTGCCTAAGTTAACAATACTTATTATAGAGAATGCATTGTTCTCCTCCAAGTTCAAGAGGAACTTGTTGAGTTTTAAAGATATCCATCGAAATGAATTTCATATTGAGATAGTAGATGAGAATAATCTCGAATATCTCATCGTTACCAAGAATATCTCTGGCCAGAAAAAGGTTATTGAGAAGTTTTCATTTTTATCTTGTGGCTTATATTGGACAAGAATTAGTGTAATTGAGGCATATTCTATCCTAAACCAAAAGGTTTTTAATTCCAATACTTTTGTACTTTGGCATGATCGATTGGGACATCCTGGATCAATTATGATGAGACGAATTATAGAGAACTCAAATGGGCATCCATTAAAGAATTTAAAAATTCTTTTAAATAATGAGTTTTCTTGCACTTCTTGTTATCAAGGCAAGTTGATTATTAGACCATCACTAATAAAGGTTGGGATTGAGTCCCCTGCATTTTTGAAACGTATACAAGGGGATATTTGTGGACCTATTCACCCACCTAGTGGGTCGTTTAGATATTTTATGGTCTTAATATCTGCATCTTCTAGATGGTCTCATGTGTGCCTATTGTCATCTCGCAACCTGGCGTTTGCAAAATTAATAGCACAAATAATCCAGTTAAGTCTATTCGACTTGATAATACTGCTGAGTTTTCATCCCAAGCATTTAATGATTATTGCTTATCAATTGGGATAAAAGTGGAACATCTTATAACTCATGTTCACACTCAAAATGGCCTTGAAGAGTCTTTGATTAAACGTCTGCAATTGATAGCAAGACTGTTACTCATGAAAATGAAATTACCTACTTCTGTTTGGGGTCATGCCATTTTGCATGCAACAATGCTAATTCGTCTCAGGCCGATAAATTATCATAAATATTCCGCATTGCAATTAGTTTTGGGTCATGAACCTCATATATTTCATCTAAGAATTTTTGGATGCGTTGTTTATGTGCCTGTAGCACTGCCATACCGCACCAAGATGGGTCCCCAAAGAAGGTTAGAAATATATGTTGGGTTTGAATCGCCCTCCATTATTTGCTACCTCAAAACATTAATGGAAAATTTGTTCACTGCTCGATTTGCAGATTGTCGATTCGATGAGGCATTTTCCCCAAAATTAGGGGGAGAAATTGGTGAAATCAAACGGAAAATTTCGTGAAAAAATCCATCATTGTCTCATCTTGATCCATGTGCTTCTATTTGTAAAAAAAAGGTGCAAAACATTATCCATTTGTAGAAAATAGCAAATCAAATGTCGGATGTATTTACGGATCTGAAAAGGATAACGAAATCACATATCCCTGCAGAGAATGTTCCAATCCATATTGATGTCCTTGTTGGAAAATCTTCTAGTGTCATAGCTAATGAGTTAAAAGCACGCCTAAAGCGTGGCAGACCATTGGGTTCTAAGGATCGAAATTCTAGAAAAAGGAAAATAAATGATCAATATGACACTATGAAAGAGTCTCATCAAGAAACCCATGATTTAACCAATCCTGAGATTCATGAGAATATCGATGAGCCTGAGACTCAAGAAAATAAGGAACTATCAATAAATCCAATCGATATTGAGACAAATTTGAATCGATTGAATATAGTGGTGGATTATGTCTTTGCATACAATGTTGCATCTAGCATTATGCAAGATAATGAGGATCTTGAACCTTAATCTGTTGGAGAATGTCGACAAAGACGTGATTTTGGCAAGAAGCAATCCAATCTAAGTTGGATTCACTTGCGAAACGTGAAGGTTTTGGGTCTGTAGTCCAAACACCTAATGGTGTTAAACCTGTTGGCTATAAATGGGTCTTTATACGTAAAATGAGTGAGAAAATGAGGTACAAAGATATAAGGCACGCCTTGTTGCACAAGGATTTTTACAAAGGCCTGGTATCGATTATGAAGAGACGTATTCTCCTGTTATGGATGCTATAACGTTTCGTTATTTTATTAGTCTTGCTTTCCATGAAAAGTTTGACATGCATTTAATGGATATAGTTACAACCTACCTTTACGACTCACTTGATAATGAGATATACATGAAAATTCCCGAGGGATTTAAAATGCCTGACGTACATAATTCAAAGTCTGGAAAAATATTTTCAATCAAATTGCAAAGATCTTTGTATGGTCTAAAGCAATCAGGAAGAATGTGGTATAACCACCTTAGTGAATATTTATTAAAGGAAAGTTATATAAATGATTCCATTTGTCCATGTATTTTTATAAAGAAAACAACATCGGAGTTTGTTGTACTTGTCGTATATGTTGACGACATAAACCTTATTGGAACTCCTACAGAACTCCAAAAGGCAATTGATTATTTAAAGAAGGAATTCGAGATAAAAGATCTCGGAAAGACAAAATTATGTCTCGGTTTGTAAATTGAACATTTGGCAAACGAGATTTTTGTTCATCAATCTGCCTACATAGAAAAGGTATTGAAACGGTTTTACATGGATGGAGCACATCCATTAAGTACTCCAATGGTTGTTCGATCACTTGATGTGAATAAGGACCCGTTCCGACCTCAAGAAAAGAATGAAGAGTTTCTTAGTCCTGAAGTACCATATCTTAGTACAATTTGTGCACTAATGTATCTTGTTAACACTATAAGGCATGGCATAACCTTTTCAGTTAATGTCTTAGCAAGATATAGCTCTGCTCCTACAAGGAGACATTGGAATGGAATCAAACACATATTGCGGTATCTAAAAGAGACTACCGATATGGGCTTATTTTATGGCAATGATTGCAGTCTCGATCTTGTAGGTTATGCCGATGCTGGGTATTTATCTGACCCACACAAGGCTCGATCTCAAACATACTATGTGTTTACATGTGGAGGCACTGCAATATCTTGGTGATCGACTAAGCAATCAATCGTGGCTACTTCATCTAATCATGCTGAGATAATTGCTATTCATGAAACAAGTCGAGAATGTACATGGTTGAGGTCTGTAATACACCTTATTCGAGACAAATGTGGTTTGAAGTGTGACAAACTACCCATAATTTTGTATGAAGACAATGCAGCATGCATAGCTCAATTGAAGGAAGGATTCATAAAAGGAGATAGAACAAAGCACATTTCATCAAAGTTATTTTTCACACATGATCTTCAAAAGAATGGTGATATCAGTGTGCAACAGATCCGTTCAAGTGATAATATGGCTGATTTTTTCGCCAAATCTCTACCGACATCAACTTTCAAGAAACTAGTGTACAAAATTGGGATGCGAAGGCTCAAGGATGTGAATTGATGCTCTTATCAGGGGGAGTTAATACGCGGTGTACTCTTTTTTCCTTACAAAATTTTGTGCCACCGGGAACCAAAAAGCGTATTCCTAAACATGTGTACTCTTTTTCCTACAATAGGATTTTTTTTTCTAATAAGGTTTTAACGAGGTACATTATCTATGGACATTCAAGGGGAGTGTTATAAGAAATATTAAATTATGGTGAATGTCTACTCTTCCTCCATAATCTTCATCTCAAATGCTTAATGACATATTCAATGACATATTTTCTATGTTTAATGACATATTCAATGACATATTTTCTTCATTTTTATGCCTATATAAAGACCTTGTAATAGATAAGAAAATACACATAATTGAAAAAAAAATAAAAATCACTTCTCCATTTCTCCCTGTATCTCTTAGCTTATTTTTTCTTGTTCTATATTGTTAATTCGAATTATATTTCATAACAAACTTAAAAGTTTTCAGAATTAAGACCTCTTTTTCACTCTGTTTTTTGGTTGCTTACAATAACCAACACGATGTACACGATTAGAAAGCATTCCGAGTCAATAACCGCCACGTACCTGAAATCTTCAACGGTCGTACCGTTACATTGCGCTGATGCGCACATTAGCACTATCAAAACGCCGTCGTTCCTTACCAAGTCCTCCTATAGTTCGTTCAACTCCCTAGACTCAAAAATAGAAATACGACAAAAATAGAAAAAAGAACTACACAATCCCATATTACCAAACGCTCCCTTTTGCGCGTGTAAACCCAACATATTAAACCTTCTTCACAGTCAATTCACAGAGTCTTTCACGCGCCAATTCCTCGTTGTATGCATAAAATTAAAAACCTTAACATAAAACAAAATAATTTAATATTCTCTTTTTTTCTTTTTTCCAAAAATATTCTCTTCTTCAACGCGGTTAAAGAAATGGAAAAAACTTGGTTGAGAAGCAGAAGAAGAAAAGGTTGAATTTATGAAAAATTCAATCGTTGGAAAACTCGTCTTCTTCGACTTCGTTCAACTTAATTCATAATTTATAATTTAACTAAAAAAACAAATATACATAAAAGAAGAAGAAGACGAGAAGTAGAATTGCTCCGGCGACGACGTAGGTCCGGCGAAATCAAAGCAATATTCTGTTCGGAGACGGCGTAGTTCCGGTGAGATCAATTGAATTGTAGAAGAAGAAGACCATTCAGTTCTGGAGAAGAATATTTGGTCCGCGTGATCAGAGGAATTATGGCGGGGGGATGGAGAGGATCTGGATCGGCGGATGGAACGACGGCGATGAGGAACCGAATCGCATCTTCTAAGAATATTCGTTTGGGTAAAGTACAGCCACAAGCGCCTGGTCATCGAACCGTGTTTTGTAATGATCGTGATGCCAATGCTCTCGCCAAATTCAAGGTTTTTTTCTCTTTTCATTCTTAATTATTATGTATATGTTATTTCCTCTGTTAAAGTCAAATTTTTTTCTTAATTATCACCAAATGCATTGGTTTAGAATGGTAAATGTGCGTTCAGGGATTGGTTGATGTGTAAGGACTTGAAATATTTTGAGTTTACTGGCTGGGGGTTTAATTAAAAGTTTCCGCTATGCGTGGGTCTGGGAAGGACTGGACCATATTAATTCTGTTGCATGACCACTGACATCCTGGTTACACACTGATAATGCTTACAGTTGTGCTAAGGCTCCCTTTCAGTAATGGGAAAATGATGGATAGGTTATATACTATTTGGAATGGCTAGTTGGTGGCAAAACTCTCTTTTTAAAGGATCACTTAAATCGTTTATCAAGGAAGATTCCAAATGTTAGCTGTCTAGTGCTGTGCATATACAACCATGTTCTTTACAAGTGTTAATTGAACCTAAAAATGATGTGGTGAATTCCCTTTTCTTTTTCAGGGAAATTCTGTGTCGACTACAAAGTATGACATCATAACATTCTTGCCAAAGGGGTTATTTGAACAGGTAAATTGTTTTATCTCCTATGTTGCGTCTTTTATTATTGCTTTCACTCATTTAAGTAGTCCGTATCTCTACCGAGCTTTAACTGTAAGTTCAGTTCGAAAGTTGGAAACTTCCCAGTTACACAAAATTTAGTCAAATCAGATATACATGAGCTTATTATACAGGACGTTTAATACAAAGGTCCATGATCCTGCAATAATTTCCTAGAAGGACCTCGCTCGAAATCATGTATGCCATGTTGAAACCTATTAACATACAATGTAGAGGGAGAAGTTTCTTGAGTAACTAGTAAAGATTTTTAAGTAGGTTCATGCATGCAATATGATACTGGTCAAGAAAAAAGCTCATGAAAACTATAAGATATGGTCCCACCGTATCTATATATATAAAAAAAAAAGAAAAGTAATAGGAGATGTTCTGTTTCCCCTATATGAAAAATTTTCAAAGATATTAGCATATTGGAATTTTTTTTGATAAGTAGGGTAAAGTTTTATATAAGCACCAGCATCACGAGTATGATGTCATGTACAACAGTACATCAAAAGAAGATCCTACAAGTTGTGCAAAGAACTAATAAGGTCAATCATGGCCTCAACATCGTGAGTATCATGTATATTTTCCATGTTACTCCAAAAGTAAGCAAAGAAATACAATGAAATTTAAGACTAGCTACATTCTCCTTTTTCTCTTCAAAAATTTTGGAGTTTCTCTCTCTCCAGATGACCCACCAAGTGAAAATTTGAACTTTGTAAGAAGCAGAACTTCGCCAAATCTTTTTCCAAGGCCAAATTGATATTGCATTGTGTGAATTGAGCAAAAGGGTGTAGCATGACTTGACTGAAAAGATACCATCTTTCCTGCCTTTCCAACAGATGTTGTCTATCTTGTCTGCTATTGTAGATTAGCATGTTGGAAATTTAGAATGTTGGAATGTCGTCTTTTACATTTAAATTAGTTATTACATAACCGTAAATATGGATAAAGTTCCCAATCCAGCTGTTTTATTCAATTCTTGTCTTTTTATAATCTTTATCTTATCTCTTCACCCTTCTTTTTATACTGACAGTTCAGGCGGGTGGCTAATCTGTATTTCCTTATGATCTCAATTTTGTCGTGCACTCCGGTCAGGTATGTCAAGTTCTCTCTTCAGTATGTATTATGTGGGTTAACTTATCCTCTCTCTTTGTCTCCCCAAACACTAAAAAGATAGAAGGGGGGATGTGCTCGTGAGAATAAGTGGGGTTACTTTATCGTGAGAATTGGGCCCGGAAGAAGAGTTTTTTTCTTTATTTCGATCATCTGGCGATTAAATCTTCTTGCAACTGTTTTAAGATTTGAATCAGTACATTGTATTAGCTGAGCTATGTTCCCTGCATATTTGCGCCTGAAAAATATTGCTTTAATGCAGTCCTGTAAGTCCAATAACGAATGTGCTTCCTTTGAGCTTGGTGCTTCTTGTCTCTCTTGTTAAGGAGGCTTGGGAGGATTGGGTGAGTACTGGTTGTCCATTTCCTTCTCATAGTTTTGATTCATAAAATGCCATTTTTTATGACGTTCTTAAGATAGATTAACAGACTACTGGGACCTATGTCCTTTTTCCCTTTTGCATCTAACCTATTTGCTTACGTTTGCTTTTCGTGTTCCTTTGATATTATTACAGAAGCGTTTTCAGAATGACTTGTCAATTAACAATTCTTCTATAGACGTGTTGCAAGATCAAAATTGGGTTTCTGTACCTTGGAAGAAGCTGCAGGTTGGAGACATTGTGAGAGTAAGTGTAAACATACAAAGAAGTCATTGCAGTTTTGTACTCTCTTTTGTTTTTTATCCAACTAGCTATGTAGCTTTCTCGGTCCAGCTCTTTTGTTTGTGACGCTCATTATCGACTTTTGTTTTGTCTGATTTGTGACATAAGAATTATCTTTCCTTAGCTTGTTTGAAGGTTATTGTCTGCTAGTTTGTTATGTTAATGGCTATTTCACGTGGATGTGACGTTGATTATTATTAAGTATGTAATCTGCATGGGTACATTCACATTTCAGAAGGATTTTTTCCTACTTTGAATGATCCATATATACCGGCTTCCTAGTTGACTGACATGTTTGGACTAGGGTAACCAATGTAAATGGAACCACAGACGGTATCAGTGTAAAAGAAGTGTTGGAACACATACTTTAATTTCTTGTCACTTTATTGATAAATGCTCTATTGTTTTTCCAAGACTAACCTATTCCTCTTTGATCTTATAGTTTCAAAAGAGATTTTAGTCTGATCATAGAATCTGGAATGACATCCAACTATTTAATGTTTAAGTCCCAAGAACATCTAGCCAATCAACTTTTCTTTAGTTAAATGCTTTAGTATGGGGTAGGAGAGAGGGTGTATACCAGCAAGGCAACAACCTTCTACTTGCATTTCTGCAAAGTGGCTGTTTCCACTCCTCAAACCCTTGAACTACTAGTCATCAAAGGAGAAAGTCTATATTATGCCAAAGCTGTCGTGGATATGTTTCTTTTTGCATATATATATATGAGTTAGAATCTACCTTTGCTAATGTCAGAGCTGGATGTCTGGTCGTGAAACCAGTTAGTCACATGACCTTTTAAATTCTGGCTTTGAGTGAGCTATGTGAATGGCTAACTACTAAAATATTTGAATTCATGTTACCGTACATTTCCCTCTTGGTGGATTCTTGTACATTGCGGAAGATGGTGAATAATTGGTACTGTCATCCTCTTAATTGCTCATGAGAAAGACGCTAGATTACTTATTTACCTGCCCCTTAACTGCACCCTCTCTACTCCGTCCTTGCTTGGAGCAATGCCATGTTGAAGACCATCCATCCGCTATTTAGTGAGCTCCAAAACAACATTAATGAAATAGAGGTAGACTTACCTAATCATAAATCAAAGACTCTGTCTTCTCAGTATATTGAATTGGTAACACACCACTCAAGAAAGTTGTTTTGCACATCATTAAACAAGATATTAGACAAATACTGGGATACTTCATTTATTGAAGTACAGGTAGCTTTAGTAGCTGAGAACTTTGAATCTAAGCTCCAAAACTTATATAAATTAAGTCCTTATTTTATGTGGGGTTGAATCTAAAGAGTTATAGACAGCCACCGGTCTGCTTGTCAAGCTCACTCTGTGGGCTCCCACCCTGGGGATGACTATCTGGCCATCATTCAAATTTGGAAGATCTACTAGGATGATTATGGAGAGTTTTCAAATGGAAAATACACTCTGTTCCTTCTCCCACAAGAAAAAAGTTAAGGAATCCAAATTTGTTGCTTCTCAAAATAGTTGCAGTACTTCAAAAGAAATTTGTTTGTGAACTTTTGACAAAAAACTAGGCAATGCTCTTTATTTCAGTGAAGAATTTAAGGTGGTATCAGTTGGCTATTCTTGTGCAGGTTAAGCAGGATCAGTTCTTTCCAGCAGATCTTCTTGTTCTTGCCAGCACAAACCCTGATGGTGTCTGCTACACTGAGGTTGTACTTGGTCTGCATCAAATGATCTTTTTTTTTTTTTTTTAATTTCCTTTTGAGAAAAAACTAGCTTGGTCTAGTTTATTTCGAAAGGAATATTCTTATATACCATAAATGAATGCACTGGTCTCTTATCTCTACCGTCCTCTCTTGATTTCTTCATGAATTATTGCAGACCGCAAATTTGGATGGCGAAACTAATTTAAAGATCAGAAAAGCACTAGAGAAAACCTGGGATTATGTGACTCCCGATAAAGTTTCTGAATTTAAAGGTTGGTCCTCTGTGCTGCTGCGGTTCAGTCTAATGTCATGCATGTATGTGGGTTTTCTGATGTCCACTTTAACATCAATAGTCATGGTTTAATTTTATTTACTTAGCATGTAAGTTCAGGAGGTGTGGGACTACACTGGGTATGTTGTTGTTGTAGGTTCAGAAGGTCATACACTGTTGATACTTATCTTCTGACCTTGGCGTTAGAAGCACAGGTGGAGTAATTGTCAACGTGGTGTCCACATAATGAAAACACAGATTCATGTATAAATATAAGTTACTGCGAACGAACAGCTTAAAACATTTTAGATTGTTACCATTGAGTATCTATGATCTCCTGCGGAATGCTTATTAACAGAAATGCTATTGCTGTATCATTTATATCACAAAATGATGATCTTGTTACGTCTTTAGTGAAATCTTGATTATTTGATTCTAATGCAACCCATGAATATTCCTTTGTAGGATGATGTGTTTGATATTTCCTTGTATGTTTCGTCTTTCCAGGAGAAGTACAGTGTGAGCAACCTAATAACTCATTATACACTTTCGCTGGCAATCTGATAATTCAAAAACAAACCTTGCCACTCGGTCCAAATCAACTTCTATTAAGGGTACTTAGTCTTTTCCTGTGTGTTTTTTCTTCTTCTTTTGGCTGTTTGTTTGTTTGTTTGTTTGTTTGTTTGTTTGTTTGTCTCTCTCTCTCTCTCTCTGGTTCATACGATATTATGTAGATGGAAAGGTTATGGTTTATTGACTCTTATTGGTGGTTCATGTTAAGATGACCTGAGTCCTTCTCTTTTCCATTTTGTGCATTAAACTTGGAGTTTCTCTGCATTTTGCTATCCTTCTTTTCTGATGCGGAGAAAGTATACTTGTTGAATATGAGTTTCATTTTCCTTCTTGATATTACCTCTATTTTGTACAGGGCTGCAGTCTGAGAAACACAGAGTACATTGTTGGAGCTGTCATTTTTTCAGGGCATGAAACAAAGGTACCAATTCTGTATTTAAGTTATAAGCTACCACACACACATACACACGCTATCTATCGTTGTCTCTCCCCCTGTACCCCCCTTTTTTTGGGAGCACGAGTTAATTTTGCTAGGCATCTTTCAAAAATAATCTAATGAAGTAGATTACTCATGCCATTAACTAGTTCAGTAACAACTATTTCTTTTAAACAACAACAACAATCCAGTGGAATCCCACAAGTGAGGTCTGGGGAGGGTAGTGTATACGCAAGCCTTACCCCTACCCTGGGAAGGTAGAGAGGCTGTTTCATGGATATTTCTGTTTAAAGATTTTGGAACATCCTGTCGTTAATGAATATTCAATTGGTTTATCTTTATTCTTTGCTTTGTGACCTTTGTTTTCTTTTGCTTCTTCGCCTAGGTTTGTATTTTAAGTAAATCATCAACTGTGTTTTCACTGCAGGTTATGATGAACGCTATGAAGATTCCTTCCAAGAGAAGCTCCTTGGAGAAGAAACTTGATAAACTTATTCTGACTCTTTTTAGTGTTCTCTTCAGCATGTGTCTATTGGGAGCTATAGGCAGGTTCGATTAGTTTCTACAACCTACCTGCCATTTTAGAAGACTGCTTTATATTCCCATCAATGTTGAAAAGGTTTCTTGGATCTTTGCAGTGGTATCTTCATAAATAAGAAATATTATTATTTACGGTTTGAAAGCAGTGCAGATGCACAATCCAATCCTGACAATAGATTTGTGGTAACTAATAGATTCTCTCGACTTGCTGACCTTCTCATTATTTCTGCTGTTCTTTCTTTGTATTTGTTTCCAATCACTCTTTTGGGTTTTGCACAGGTTGCTGCTTTGACCATGTTCACCTTAATCACTCTGTATTCACCGATTATTCCCATCTCTCTCTATGTTTCTGTTGAGGTAGATCTTAACAGTTTTTGTTTGTTTTTGTTGCTGCGTTATGCAGAATTTTGATTTGAAGTATCTCTTACTCTTATCTTTTCTCTGGTTTTCACTTACAGATGATTAAGTTTATTCAGTCCACAAAATTTATCAACAATGATTTACACATGTACCATGCTGAGAGTAACACCCCTGCACAAGCAAGGACATCTAATTTGAACGAGGAACTTGGGCAGGTAATTTTGAGTCAGGGACTAGTATGGTGAAATTGTTTTGCTCGCGGTGCAATATGTGTCCTTATTTTCCCTTGGCTATAATTTTAACTGTCTATCTGTGAATCATTGATCTCAATGGGTAGGTGGAATACATATTTTCTGACAAAACTGGAACTCTAACGAGGAACTTAATGGAGTTTTTCAAGTGTTCAATTGGAGGAGAGATATATGGCAGTGGTATTACTGAAATTGAGATGGGAACTGCACAAAGAAGTGGAATGAGAGTTGAGGTAAACAACCTTTAAATAGGGATAAAATATAAACAGATTCATGGCTCTGCATTTTGTTGATTTAGGGAATTGTTATAGGTCCAAAAATCATCAAACGAGGCACGTGAAAAAGGTTTCAATTTTGATGATGCTCGGCTGATGCGAGGTGCCTGGAGGAATGAATCTAATCCTGATGCATGCAAGGTATATAATTGGATTATTATAGTGGAATAAAGCCACAAATAGCAGTTGGTTTGCCCCCAAGTCATTTTTGAACAATGAAAACTCGTTAACTTGCTGCTAAACAAAAGACCAGAAAGTTACTGCTGTTGTAGTGATATCCTCTCTCTCGCGCTCTCGNCACGGCTCGAACCCGTGACCTCCTGGTCACATGGCAACAACTTTACCAGTTACGCCAAGGCTCCACTCTCTCTCTATATATATATATATATGCAGAACCTTTTTGATGTTGTTAACGAAGTTAATGGAAATCAGATATAGCTAAAGTGTAAGTCACACTGTTTAAAAATCAAAAATTTCTATTCATTCGCTCGCCTTTGTTTTATGTTCTTTTTTATACTTCGTTATTTCTGTGTCCTTCAGTTGATAATCATGTGCAACTCATTGTGGTATTGCCCTCCGTTCTCTTACTCCCTTCATCTTAATCTCAATGCCCATCTTTCCCGCATTATTAAGAGAAGACTTGAAAATCGTTGTTGTTTCATTTTATACGGAGAACGTGTTGGGGCTATATATTAAGGAAAAGGTGAACATTTTATATATGGTTTTTTTGGGGGGAATATAAAATTTGGTTAGTAACTTTTGGATTTGAATATCCCCTTCAAGTTAGAGTTGATATGGTGCGAACTTTCACAAACGTGCAGTCTGATTTCTTCTTTAGCACTCATAGACATCTAACCTAACAATGACCAAGGTTGTTTGTTCAGGAATTCTTCAGATGCCTTGCAATATGCCATACCGTGCTGCCTGAAGGTGAAGAGACCCCAGAAAAAATACGATATCAGGCAGCTTCTCCTGATGAAGCCGCTCTGGTTGCAGCAGCAAAGAACTTTGGCTTCTTCTTTTACAAGTGCGTGGCTACTTACAATTTTAATTAAACCTATCAGAAAAAGTAAAATTTCTGTTACATTTATGCTGCTGCAAGTGATACTATTTCGTCGTGAATCTGTTTATAATGTGTATCTATGGAAGCCTAGGAGGTAATTAACATAAATTATGTGGCTGGAAGACTTAAGGAGTGTTGTTGTCTTCAAGTCTAAGTGGTGAAACCAATCACCATTTCATGGGATAGTGCATGTAAACCTATTCTTCTAATCGGATTCTTCTTGTTAGTTTCTTCAAGTATGGAAAGAAGAGATTCAAATTGAAAATGAAATATGCTGTTTCTGGTGCTAACTCTTAAGAACAGCTATAGATTCTTTAACAGAACATTCTGTTACACTAACTACAGGTTCAAGAATGGCCCGGGTTGGACAAAGACAATAATCACCATTTTGGTGGGAGGTTGAGTTGTTTGCGGTGGGGGTAGGGAATTTTAATTGTAGAATCAATTGAGAAATCTAGTGATGGCGTGAACCAAATTTCTGGTATTTATTTTCTTGAGGTGTCAACTTGTTAATTGCATGCTATTTTTCTCTCGGTGGAAGATTATTTAAGAAAGAGTATATTGTCGGTAACAGAAACCGGATTCAACAAATTATCTGTTAGAACAGTTAGCAAAAGGCACTGTCTGCTAAATACATAGTTATATCAGATTATGGAAAGAGTTAGGGTTTCTTATTTTGTGTCATTGTTACTGCTCGCTCTTCTATTTATTTCTGGTCCTCTGTTAATTTTACATTTTTGCAGGCGTACTCCAACATTGATTTATGTGCGTGAATCACACGTTGAGAAGATGGGAAAGGTTCAAGATATACCCTATGAGATTTTGAATGTCCTTGAATTCAACAGGTCTTTGGACTTTTAAACTTATAATATCTGTTGCCTGCATGATGCTATGAGGTTTGACTGTTATCCTTATTTTTGTATTCAGTACGAGAAAGCGTCAGTCTGTTGTATGTCGCTATCCTGATGGCAGATTGGTACTCTATTGCAAGGTAGGCACTTTACAAAGAAAGACCTTTTACTTGGATTACTTCTTAGAATATTATCATAGAACCTTCATTTCACAGGGTGCAGATAATGTTATTTATGAGAGGTTGCATGATGGAGACAATGATTTGAAGAAAAGAACGAGGGAGCACTTGGAGCAATTTGGTGCTGCTGGACTTCGTACACTTTGCTTGGCTTACAGAGATCTAACCCCATATGTGTATGAAAGTTGGAACGAAAAATTCATTCAAGCAAAATCTTCTCTTCGAGAACGAGAGAAGAAATTGGATGAGGTGCGTATCAGTAGTTCACACTGCTGTTATATTTTCCAGATCTACATTTTTGTCTGTTTTTTATTTTTTTTCCTTTTTGGAGGTGACTTTTGTAATGATTGTTAATTCATTGTTTGGAACATTTAAGTTAGTCTTTTCTTGGGATTTCTTGTTTTAACGTTATTCTGCGCTACTTAACATTGATTGATGGAAGAGATTTGAAAATCTGCTAGTCCCTTTTGGCAAGGGTTGCTCTATTCTGCATGTATCAAAAGTTCCCTTCATTGTTATCCTTCAGACTCAAGGTGTCGGACTTTAGTTCCAAAATTGATTTCAAAGTATAGTTTGATCTACTCCAGAGAATGGATGATGTAATTAAACTCATTAATAGCTTAATGGCAACAGTTCGTAGTAGATCTCAAGTATTTGCCTGCTGTTATCAGCTGTTATAACAACAACAACAACAACAAAAAACCCAGTTTGATCCCAACAGGTGGGGTCTGGGGAGGGTATTCTGTACGCAGACCTTACCCCTACCTAATGCAGGTAGAGAAGCTGTTTCCAATAGACCCTCGGCTCAGGAAGGGCAAGAAGAAGAGGAAAGCAAGGAAGGAAGAAAGATGGAAGAGAAAAGAAAAGGGAGAGATAAAGGATAAGTAGTACCAAATAATAGCAACAGGGCATACAATACCTGAGGCGAACAAAACCACACAACGTAATAAAAATCTAAGAATATGAAGGGACATGCATGCTACTAAGACTATCGGTGAACAACTATAAACTACCTACTAACCTTCTACCTCCACACCCTCCTATCAAGGGTCATGTCCTCAGTGAGCTGAAGCAACGCCATGTTTTGCCTAATCACCTCTCCCCATTACTTCTTAGGCCTACCTCGACCTCTTCTCAAACTCTCCATGGCCAACCTCTCACACCTCCTGACAGGAGTATCAATGCTTCTTCTCTTAACATGTCCGAACCATCTCAGCCT